GCGCGCGCTTTCAGGAAATCCTATACACTACTGTTTATGCTCTAAAAACATTCTAAATGACTTCGTTTCGAGTAAATTCTGGATGCTCATTTGGATGATACAGTTTTTTAAATACTCAAAAAATCTTTAAAAATCTGAATACAAGGAAAACATACGGCTTGCTTTTAATATGAAATATGTTATAACTTCCAAAATTAAGAGCAATACAGCTAACTTGACCGTTGTCCGGCACACAGCCTCCACCAAGTGGGTAAGCCTTTAAAAGTCATTGCTTAATGTTAAGCTCAGAAGAGTAGGATCCAATGTTCAAACAGATTTCTCGAACCGTTTATTAAAAATCAGAGTGAGCGGCGTCCATGTCTAAAGCAGGAACCTCTGCAAGAAGAGACAGCAGGTTAGTGACCACGTCTTTCTGGACGTGGATGATAATAAACGTCTGAGTCACCAACCTGGTCTTATAGTTCAGTCCAAATCCAATAAGGTTGCCGTACAGAGAGTCAGATGTTGATTCATCAGTCGTTAGAGGACAGGCAGGAGATTGGAACTGAGCAGACGAATGTATGCAGGATAAACTGGAGGGCGAATTCAAAGCTGATGTAGGTGCCTAGAGAGAATCCAGAGCGGAGTCGGGTTCCAGGAATGGTTCACAAACAGGCAGAGATCTGGCAGGAGTCAGAAGACAGGTAAAGCAAACAGATAAGATGGGACCAGGCAGGCTCAGAGGACGGGAGACGGAATGGGTCAGGATCAGGTAATCAGAACTCAGGAATGCTAGAATAAGTCTAGACAATGGCTAGAAATATTCTGGCACTGATGACTGGTCTGAAGGCTGGTTAAATAGAGCCGCTGGATCAGATAAGCAGGTAATGAGAACTGGGCACAGCTAAACAGGTGTGTGAAATGAGTAATCAGACCTGGCATCAGTGCCCAGATGATAATACTTAAGGAGCTGGGTGATCACATAGTGCTGTAATGTTGAGTTGAGGTCAAACGGGGTGAAGAAAGGCCTTAAAGCTTCAGGGACAATCATTGTCTGGAGAATTATTTAGCAAATCCATTTCAAAAATATAAAGGAGATTGCATAGACTGCAGTTGGTGACAAAAAACAGACTGTTGCAACTTGGTTTAGGCCACAACTGTCTTAGACATATCAAAAAGCTCTTAACTGGAACAAGCAATAAAGTGACTGGTCTATGCTCCTAAATTTTTTTTCTCAATATTTTTCTTCAGGCTAATCAGAATAAAAAACATAGATTTGGAGGAAGTGCAATGAGGTAAAGAACCCAAGTTGCTCGATGGTCCAGTGAGACATTTCCACAGTCAGTAATGATTTGGGGTGTCATGTAATCTCCTTGTCTGCCATCTCACCCACCCCTTTCATTCTACAACTTCAAAGCTATTTCAGCCGTCTACCTGGAAATGTTCAAGTAGCCTAAGGCTTCTTTCCCTTCATAAGCGTCATGGGGATGCTGATGTCATTTTCCAGCAGGGCCCTGGCATCCTAACCTGGCAGTAGCCAGATTGATATGTGATGGTGGGTAGTAATTAGTTACATTTACTCCGTTATTTTCACTTGAGTAATATTCTTGTAAAGTATTGCTACTCCTGCTTGAGTAAAATCTCTGACTACTTTGTCTTCTGTGAGCAATTAGAACTATTCCAAAATCAGCTAAACATACAGTAAACAGTAACAGTGGAAGTTTGTTACCCTGTAAAAAGATATATACAGTTCTCATTGTAAGGATTGGTGTTGTAATGATAAATGTAATGAATATAAAAAAACATTTGTGCAGAAGAAATATTTTTATTTGTATTCTTTATGCATACAGTAAAAGATGTTTGCCAGTATGATTTATAAACATTAAATCTGATGGTATTATCCAACAGTTACTCAGTACTCAAGTAGCCTTTCTACCAGTTACTTTTTTACTTTTACTGAAGTCATTTCTTGGATGACAACTTTTTACTTTTACTTCAGTAAAAGAATGATAGAGTCCAGGGAACACTATGAAGGCCTGGAGGGAAGTATGTGGATCAAATATTAGGTTTGTGTGGCTGTTTTTCTCTCAGAGAAGCTGCTGTTAGGTTATGACATTGGAGGATGGACAGGCAGGTGAGTAAGAACTAATGGCTGGATATCAGGAGAGTGGTTGACAGAGGAGTGGATGGAGGATCCATGAGAGGAGCGGAGGAAGGAGCTATTAAAGGAATATTTTAAGAAGTGAGCTTATCAGTCAGTGGTGACTGGAGTAGGACTCAAAAAGAAGAATCCTAGAAGGAGGCAAACACAGGTTGAACTCTGGAAAGATCATATGGGGAAGTTGGCCTGATTATCATCACAGAAATGAGGATTATCTGGCATCCTTCTCACAGAGATTTCTCCCTTTTTTGCATCTCCTGAGGAGAGCTGATGAGCTGCAGCTGTAGGACATTATCCGCTACCGAGTAGAGATAAGATGAAAGGAAAAAAAAACACAAATAAGGAAAACCAGCCTCTGCCTCCGTGAATGTTACAGTTTAATTATTTAAATCAGTTTGTGTAAATACCATCTATATTGTATGTAAGCGTAGTAGATCATATCTGTTCAAAAAAAGATGGATTCCACTTTTACGCTCAGAGAAACAGCAGCCAGATGAAACAACAGAAAGCTGCATCAACAAATACAGGTGCCTATATATTTTAAAATCAAATATTTCTATCTCCTCCTGTACAGGGAAAAAAAGATTTTTTTTTTGGTATTGTGCTTACCTTAAGTCGTTTTGCTATGACACCTAAAAACTAGAAAGCAACTGTCCCTTAAGAAATGTGGCATATATAGCATGAGGGGGAAATTAGATATAAGCAGTCCAGTAAATCCCAATCTCAACAGTTTAAGGATTTGAATGTAAAAGCTGAGGTGGATACAGCCAAGCTGGGCCAAATAAAATGATCTTTTTTTTCAAAGCATATGTGGGGAGTCAAGATTTTATCCCTTTCTGAGTGTTTTAATTGGAACCATTTAACGTCAATGCTAACAGGATGCCTAATCTTTTTGGTATCACTTCCCATCAACAACAGCAGAGAAGTGTAGAGTGTATGTCTGCTGGTGATAGAAAGTAGGTTATTAGGCCGTTAAATCTTGTCTTAATCTGCTGCGTGAATCACAAAACTATGTAAACAAACAGAAAGGCTGAGGAAACTAGAACATATTCATAGCTGTTAAGTTGTTAACACTGCAGCCTCGCGTGTAGATGTGTACTCAATACTGCAAACTTTTTTTTCTTTTTAAGGAATGAATTATTGATATAGCTAAACACAGTGATCCTAAAGCAGTGCACCACATTAATAATTTAATTTTGCAGACTTCAGAATTGCTCTCTTGTATGGGTGTTAGCTTGGGTTTAATGCTCAGTTTCCTCCCAAGAGGCTGATTGAGGTGTTGATCACTAATGATTAATGCAGCTATTCAGGTTCTCCAGGATTTTTTTTTTTTATCTTACAGAAATTCACAGTTAAAATAACCTAAAATAAGACTAAGAATCATTTTCACCTCTAAGTAGGTCCAAAGACCTTATGATCCCTTCACAGTTCTTATATGTCTCTCCATTTCTGCCCACCTTGAAGCTTGAGGCTGGAGTTCCACTTCCCAGCCCCATGGAGCTGATGGGGAAGATCCTGGTGAAAAACAAGAAGAAACATCATAAAACTGACGGCAGCACCAAGAAGAAGCTCTCTGAGCAGGTTTCCAACACCTATAGTGATTCTTCCAGCGTATGTGAGCCATCCTCCCCTAGTGCAGGTATGGCACCCATGATATCGCGCAACAGATTAAAAAAAGAATAATACACCAAGGTATTATTGTGACCTACTGTATGTTTTATGATGTAAATTGTAACTATCTGGCTCCATTTGTGCTGTGGACCAAAACTTCTCTACTGCCCAGAGACTGAAGCAGCAGAGCAAAACTCTGCTATTGTTCAGCAGTTTGTCATTTTCATGGCCCTTTCCATCAGCCCACGATATTACTGGCTGCTGCACATACCTTCTGGGGCTCCTTAAACACTAGCCAGCAGTAGCCGTCAACCTGTCTTCTTTGTACGTGTGAGCGCACATGCATGCCGCTGTGTGTACATGATGTTAGAAATTCATCACAGCTGCTCCCTGGGAAGAGTTTTCTCAGATCTGTTAATCACCACAATGGAGTCTGTGGCACATTATATTTTACTTTCTAATATTTGTGTTAGTGCATACAAGCTTTACTGTTCATTTATGTTTGCATTTTGCATCCCTATCTTTATTTGTGCAGTTATACAACGGGATATCAAGCAGATATTCTCTGGAATTCAGGTTACTGTATTTCTTGCACACACTGCCCCCCTGTGGTAATACATGAATACTACAATCAGGAACCTTTGTAAGCATGCAGTGGCAATAATCAGGCCAATACCTACAGATACTATTACATAATTTATTTATTTTTTTCATTCATGGGTAGTGAGATCTAATTAAGGAAATAAATGAATTTTCAATATTTTAGTTTAACTCAGAACATCAACGTGCAAAATTCTAACCAAGTTTATTTGTTTGTTTTCTTTCTCCAAGGTTCAACTAAAGATGAGATGGCTGATTCCTCACAACCGTCTGATGGTGCTGAGCTCAACCTGAGACCACATGGCAGAAAGTCTATTGGTGAGTGATGACCTCAGCCTAAAATCTTTTGTGTGGTCCTCGTTAAGGTGGAAGTATAGGTCAGTTTGACCGTTATCTTCGACATGATTTCCTGTCTTAGTCTGAGAACAGATTTAGAAGGAGATCCTGAGTCACCTCCTAATTATGCATGCAAAGGAGCTGGGTGAGTTTCTGCTAAGCAATATTAAAATAAATATTAGCTGTCACTCAGCTCCGCCAGTTTATTCTTGTTAATGGGAGGCTTGCGTTGCAATTTCGAACATAATGGATGGAAGTTATAACTAGATAAAGCTATTAAAAAGGTTGCCTGTATTGAAATAAATTATTAAGATAGTTAATGTCAGCAATAAAATCTTTTAAAATGTATTAATGTGTTCCTAATGTTTTAGGTGAGGTGGAGGCTGAAAGCGATGATGATGATGACGATGATGATGACTGTAAAAAGGGCTCAATGGATGAGGTATGTGTGGAGTAGGTGGCATCAATTAAAATGCTTTTAAAATATATTCATAGCTTAGGTTATGTTTTTGTAAATTATTGTTTTTATACATCACATTTTTCTTATTTTATATTTTTTGTTTTATTTTGATCGACAGGGCGATCCGAAGTAGTGCCTCACTAAGTGGTGGAGGGAGAATGATTTATGTCTTTTTTATATGTATTTTAGGCTTTACAGGTAGAAACTTCAAATTGTGGTTGCTAGTTTTTATAAGCCTTACTGTAATCAGTTTAAGGGTTGATTTATCATCTCTACACCTCTTTGAAATAAAACTTCTGCTAATTCTTCTTAGCGAAATAGTTTAAGTTTTATCTAATTAGATGTATGCCACAAACATACCTTAGTCAATATTACCTATTTATTTAATTAGCATCCATTTAGGCTCTGTGTCAGCATTATATTTGCTGACACGTGTTTAATGCAGCACAGAAATGCTTAAGAGGTTAATGTGGTAAATTATTTAATTGCCAAAACAGTATACGTTGGCTGGAAGCAACTTTTCCATAAAATCTTGTTACTGCGATGTTTGCAATAATTAAGTACTGCAAAAAATGCACTACTTAATTAAGCAAGGTATCATTTTTTTTCATGATTATTTTTTTATTGCCTACCCTATTTGCCTATGGGGCTCTTTTAAAAGTTGTTTTGATGCAATTCCTAAAACTCATTGCATGTGTTTCTTAAATGAGAAGTTTAAGAGCCCTTAATCTTAAAAGTCAAAAATATTTGTATATATATCTTATTTCTTATTCTGGACTTTCAAACAAGCCGTTGGGCTCTATACTTTAGTTATGGGATGTCTGCAGGTTTTCTTTGAACTGGTTTTATTTGAAGTTAGCAAAAAAAATTGAAAATGTGTGAATACAAATGGATGCCGCACTTTTCAGATTTTCTAACAACTTCTGCAATAATTTCTATCTGGCAGTGATACAAAAATCATAAAAAAAATCTCAAGAATACTAACTGAGGTCTGAATTTGTAATGTGAGAAATCATTGGATGATTCAGGGAGGTTGAATTCTTCCCAAAAAACCCTGAATCAGTGGTTTTAGTTTTGATTATAATCTGATTTACTTTTTGTTTTTCATTTTCAAAGCTCTCCTCAAATGTTTTATGATTGTTATTTTTTTTTTTCTTCAATGTCTTGAACAATAAGACTGTAACAACTGATATCAGTTTCTTATATTACCATTAGTCATTCTCAGAATTCAAACAGAAAATTGAAAAATAAATGAATTGTTCCAAAGTCAAACAAACCATGGACATATTACCAAAAGAAAAGCAAATAAAGGGACAAATCCAAAGCAGAGAGCCGATACATTTCAGCCCAAAGGGAGCCTTTCTTCTTCCACAGATGCTTTGTTGAAGGTTAATGCAGTGTGCAACCATCAGTATCAGTCTTTACTGCGCTGGACTTGAAACCTATCTGAGTAATTTTCTGCTAACAGCTTTAGAGGCTTCAGAGAGGCCTTTAAACCAGAAAGTTTCTTTAAGCTACCAGCTTGGTTGCTCCGCTGTCAAGACAGACATAAAGATCTGCAGCAATACCTTCATCTGCATGAGGCTGGATAATAAGAGATAGGTTTCATTTTAGCTTTGATCTGCTGCACAGGTCAACACGGGATACCTGCATTTATTGATGCCTTATTGTTTTGCTGTTTATTGACTGTCGTCTAAGTTTTTTAATAAGTGTCTCAGGTTTGCTTTCATATAAACTCTTATCTCTATCAAACAGTGAAAATCAAGGTGATTGTTTTGTGATCTTTGAGTTGAATTATAATGTAGCAAATAAAGGATAAAGCAAGGAGAGAACAGAAAACGGTCTTTGTTCCTCATAATGCTTTCTACGCTGTCTTTATGAAAATATGATGACCAAGGATTACGGACAAACAAATAGCTTGTTCAGATACCAAAAACAGAAAACATCATTACGTTTTTGGTGAACTGCTTGTTTGCTGTCTATTAAAAAGTTTTAGTATTTTTGTTTTTTTTCTGAGCCTCCCAACAAAATAATGATAATGACCATATTCTGCCTTAGTTTGACTAAGGCAGTGTTGCTCTCATTCAACTCCCAACTCCATGCATAATATATGTCTTATATACTACATATCAGCTTAAGAATCCCACATATCTGCTCCCAAAAAGTATTGTAAGTTGGAGAATATGTATTATTATCAGAGCATAACTCATGTTACACTATGCAGTTTCTCAGTCTGTACTGATGAAGATTGAGTCACGTTGCCAGACTGACTGCATAAAGTTGCAGCCAGACATACTTTCTTAACAGTTTATTTAATAGGCATTCAATTTCATGGGAGAACTCAAAACATTGAATATACATATTTACTTACATGTTTAACTCATTTTTTTCATACTGATGCAGTTTAATATTGTGAGTTTGAAAAAAAAAAAACCTTCACCTCAGTAGGCCCTGCAAAAAAGCAGCAAAGCATCCCTGTCAGCGATTCACAAAGTACATTACATTTCCCTATTTTTATACTTATTTAGCTTGCCTTTTTCAAAATCAAGGCAAGATCAACAATAGTGCCTCTTATATCAATTGTGTCTGTTTATGTGCAGGGCACAGCAGGCAGTGAGGCATTCGCTACAGAGGAAATGTCAAACCTGGTGCTCTACATCCAGCCGGTCAAGTTTTACTGCTTCGAGACATCTAAAAGTAAGTAGGATCAGTTACATTTTTTACAAGTTCAAGAATAAATGTAAATCCCCAGCCTTGATTTAAATATATACTGAAGCATACAAAAGGTATTATCTTCACTAAATTTTGCATTCCATATAAACCTTTGCTAAAAACTTTGAGAAACATCCAACATATAATATAGAAAAAAGAGAATTTGAAAGGTATGCAGTTGCTCAAATTCATGTTCCCATGTCAATCCGCAGAGGTCAACCGGAGCTTCCAGATGTCCTCCTTTGTAGAGACCAAAGCTTTGGAGCTTCTGACTAAATCACCGGTAGAGTTTGTAGAGTATCCTTATTTAAGCACAACTGTCTGCTGTTTAAGGCCTGTGATGTGTTTGTTGTGATGCTTGTTTGATTTCAGCTTTTGACGTAATAATTTGCAGCAGACCCACTACACACTTCACACTTCATCCTCATTCCTCTGTTACTATTTAGCTCAATAAAAGCCCCAGTGGGCTCTTTGGCAACATCTGGAGTTGTACATTAATATCTGTGGCTTCAGAGGTACAGTTTAGGCCATGCATGTGTTGGTGGAAAGACACAACTATTTTACTTTCTAATGATTGGTTAGTTTTGCTTGTTTTGTACTACTGTAATAAACAATCATTTTTTCCCTATTAATTACAGATTATCAAGATCACCCATAGTGACACAGATATGGTATTTTAATACATTTCCCATGGTGCATTGAAGTTTAATAGCATGCGTTTTTTAGACATTAACCAACATGTCATAAGTTTGATCAGATTTATTGATGAGTTTAGGTTACAGCAATCTTAGAGACTCAGTGTTGATCTACTGTAGCTCTGCTGTGTTAACATGAAGTTGAGGAACTAGGAGACTTTCCTCTTTCAAAATTGTATCCTCTTTGCGCACTGTTACAATAAACCTGTCAGTAAAGCAGCCCTATTACCGCGGTTGACTGCTGATTCAGCGTAGGTCTGAAAACCTCACATTGACTCTTAGAAAAATACAGAAGCTCAACCTTTATCTAGTGTGAAAATACAAACTTTTCCCAGAAATCTCTTGGCTTGTGGGAAGCTGTGCGTTTCAAATGAGCTGAAATGTTTCCATGTCATGGTCAGCACTGTTAAAGTCCATGATGAGGTTAAACTTACTTCACCGTGGAAACTGACCAACTCAGATTGAGCCTTGGTGGATTACTCTTGAACACACAAACTTTGTTTTGTCTGAAGGTTGCAGTTAAGGTCAGGCAGTTAAAATTTGGACACACTTAGAAGTTTCAGCAATAAAATAATCCCTTATGCACATCAAACCTGGTTTTAGGAGGGTGACGAAATGGCCTCCCCTAAGCCCTTTTAGCAGTTTTCCAAGAAAGCCAAGTCTGTGAGGGAAACCAAGATATTTAAATGGGATCTTAGATTTTAAAGAAGTGTGGTCTGATATCAGACTGGTAGAATTTTTCCTGTTACCAAAATCAAGTGGTCAGTGCTGAGGGACAGTATTTGTCTGTATGAATAATTTTTACTCTGCAAATACTGTAAGATAAGAAAGAAAATAGATTTGAAATTGTGTAACCAGTTGGACTCAATATAATCTTGTGTCATTATTGTTCCCCATTGAACAAACAGGCTCAAATACATAATAAAACCTTAGGTTTATGTCAACTTTAACCAGAGCTGTCAGATTATTCTCCCTATATGAGGAGCTGTATACTTACACTAGATTCAGATCATGCTGTTCTTCACCTAACTGATTCTGTTCAGATACAATAAGCTGCAGCTAAGCAGGATCTACCCTAAAGGTACTCGGGTAGATTCTTCCAACTACAACCCTCAGCTCTTCTGGAATGCAGGCTGTCAGCTGGTGGCTCTAAACTTCCAAACAATCGGTGAGGAAAGGCAGCACTATCTTTTTAAATACATCTAAATGTCTAAAAGTTGAATCCAGCATCAGTGTCCAGGAAAACAAACCCTGTCTTTCTCCCTCAGACTTATCGATGCAGTTGAACCTGGGCATGTATGAGTACAATGGGAAATGCGGCTACAGGCTGAAACCAGAGTTCATGAGACGACCGGATAAACACTTCGATCCTTTTACTGAAAGCACAGTAGACGGGATAGTCGCCAACACGCTGTCTGTGAAGGTGTGTGGAGGTTTCTATTGATCCTTCTCAGCCTCTGTAGGTTTGTCTGTAGATGTTTCCCTTATTAATTAACATGAGGTGATCTGTGGCTGGAGGGCGCGTTGTTTATCTATGTGTGTTACTCAGAATCAGGTTGGGGTCCTATGAAAACTTTACAATAATGATGCTCAGCTCAGTGAATACAGTATGTGACCAATACATGTTTTAGTAGGATCTGATTGTGAAATCCAGATTCTAATATACCTGAAACTGGACTGATTACAGATCATCTCAGGTCAGTTCCTGACCGATAAGAAAGTGGGCACATATGTGGAGATCGACATGTTTGGCCTACCAGTCGACACCAAGAGGAAAGCTTTCAAGACCAAGACATCTCAGGGCAATGCCATCAACCCCGTCTGGGAGGAGGAGGCCATTGTGTTCAAGAAGGTGGAAATCTCTCTGAAGTTTTAACTTTAAAACATCAAGTAATAAGCGTGAAATTAGAAAAAGTTTATTATCTCTAACATCTGCAAAGCCACGATGTGTAAATTAGCTCTTTAGAGAAGTCTAGTGGTGATGTATTATCAGACATCCTAAAAAAAAAAGAATAGAATATTTATATGGAACTGAATGTGGCTTTTGATCTTAGACATTTTCCCTATTTTCTTCCGTTCCCATGTTATTAATCTTGAACTTTCTTCTGAATCAGTTCAAAAATATCTCCTTTTGTTTTTGCCTTTTTATGAGCTTGTAGGTGTAAATACTATATAGATATTTAATAGCTCTTCATGTTTCATATTTCATTATCACTCCCACTCAGAGCTCAGGTTTATAGGTATTTTCTAAAACAGGTTTTCAGATTTATAATTCTAAATTATATTTTACATCTCAGGGCATAACATTTCTGTGTTAGAGATTTTTGACAGATACTTATTGTTATGCTTAGAATATGTACTTGTCTCTCTCATCAATATTTTAGTTATTCATTGTGAGCAACATGTTCCTATAATCTTTTACTTTATAAGTACATAACAATTCTCTCCACTTTTATGCTGAGTCCCTTTTCCTGGTTGTGTAATTGTATTGTTCTGTGGGCTTTTGCAAAAGGGAGGGACTTAAAAAAGTCTCTAAGTGTCAAAGATGCATTGTTTAATCCTTAGTCTTGGCCATCATACATTATCTGCTGAAATGTTGCTTTCCATTTTCAAAGTTTAAAGAGCAAACGACGAAAGCAGCTATTACTAATAAGTGCTGAAAGAGTTAGAAAAATATCCAAGAGTAGGTAATAAACTGTGAACTTGTCAGGTACGTGAAGGAAACAAATGCAAAAAAAACCTCAAAAGAACAACGAAGAAAATCCTTTTAAAAATGTATAATATTGGACCATATAAAAAATAAATTCAAATCAGACTGAGTTGCCTGAAGAATGTTTATTCCAACTTCATTTGAAAATTAAATCTTAAATTCAGAACTGCAAATAATCAGGGTACACCTATTCTTTTGCTACATCAGTTAAATAGGTCAGAAGTCTACTAAAGAAATTCATCAGGATTACAGGAGACTTTGATTTAGAAATGTATGATTAAGCGTCAAAGTAAAGGCTTAAAAAGCAGGGGATGTGCTTTAATCTTTTATTATCCCAGTTACCATTTTTTGGTAATTTGCATATAAACACCGCTTTGCAGGAGACAAGATAAAGTCATGTGGGTAGAAGTGGTCTGCAGGGTCTGTAAGGTCCACCTCTGTGCTAAAGCTGAGCGTAACTGCTTAATAGAAAACCACCAGTAATCTAATGTTGCTTATTGTGTTTTTTGTTACCAACTGTAGATAAAGTTAAAAAAAAGGTTAAAAAGTGAAGTTCATAACTTAATAAGCTAATTAAAAAAGATAAAAAGCTGATTCAAAGAGTTAAAGAGCTGTTTTACAAAAAGTAAAAAAATATATATTTCATGGATTATCATGAATGTTCTGAGGGTGAAGTTGTAAGAGAAAAGTTTCTTTCTTTTACGAGTGTTTTTCATAAATCTTTTATGGAACCACTCTGGATTTGGTTTTTCCATATTAGGGCAAATACCTGTTTTTTCTTAATTACGTTGAGCTTGATTTTTACAATGAAAATATGTTTTTTGTTTCCTTTAAATATCAAAAAATATTCGATCTGTTTTTTGTTTTTGTTCTTATTATTCAAAGTGTTTTGCTGATTGCCCTAAAAAGAGTTAATCTTAATCTTGTCCACATAAGCTCAGATCCTGGATCATTGTCTAGAAAAACAGCTTCTATCCCATTGATGTTTCTTGAACCTTTCTATAATGGGATCGTTAGGTTGTCCTGCCCACTCTGGCTTCACTGAGGATAGCTGTGTTTGAAGAAGGGGGAAAGTTTATTGGCCACCGCATCATGCCTGTTTCAGCTATCCGTCCAGGTAAAAAAAAAATTATTTAATGTTAAAGTCATTTCAAAAACCAGGTAAATAAAGATCCTTGTTTAGAAATTCTGAGCATTTGGCATGTGTTTCAGGTTATCGATATATCAGTCTAAGGAATGAGAAGAACCACTCGCTGATGTTACCGGCCCTCTTTGTTTACGTTGAAGTGAAAGACTACGTCCCAGACACATTTGCAGGTAAATCATGGGCGGCGAAATGTAATAAAGATCCAAGGTTATTATCTGACATTAACCAAAAGGTTTTCTCCCTGCTCTTTAGATGTCATTGAAGCCTTATCCAATCCTATCCGCTATGTTAACCTCATGGAGCAGAGAGCCAATCAGTTGGCAGCTCTCACTTTAGAGGAAGGAGGGGAAGACGAGGGAGACAAAGAGGTATATGAATATTTTCAAAACTTTCAAATATCAAATATGACTAATTTAACTGTGATATCTAATTTTTATATTATATATTTGACGTTTAAATTGCTTGACAGTTGTGCATAAATGTAACAGACTGACATAATTAGGGACCTATTTAAAAAATTGGGAATAAAATCCAAATCTAACCTCCAGCCTTGCTTTATTACAAGTTTATTGGTGTTTTTGTTTTTTTGTTTTTTGAAGTTGGACCCTTAGTTGCAGCAAAACTCCTAAAGGCATCATCCAATGTGAAACTTGATGAGGATGATAAGGACATGTTCAGTTAATATTATGGTGTCACTGTTTATACATTTTTTTTTAAATTTGCATTGAAGCTAAATATCAAGTTCTGAGTGTAAAGATGTCCACATTTTAATTTAAAACACATAGATTATTGTCCAGTCTGACTAACAATACGCATAGTCTCTGGAAAATTACACACCTTTTACTACACATCCTGCAACGCTTACATATTTAAACCTAAGCATCCACTTGACACTTGTGTGCAAGAATAGAAATGATAGATCTAACCTTTAGGGTAATTAGGTACTTTCTCCCTACTTTTTAGAACATTTTAGATTTCTGTTGAGTACATTTCATATTTGTAGATCTGTTTTGCCTCAGAAAGAATATTTACCAGAGTTAACATAGAGATTGATTAGTCAATCAGTTTCTTAGGCGAGATTGGTTTCTCTAACAAGGTGATGATTTTTTTAAGTTTTGTGCTTCAGTAGACAATTTAAGCTCTAAATCCTCTATCACTTCCTTTGTTTTACATCTACTGTGTGTAGAGAAGAATTGAAGATGCTGTTTACAGCTGTTTACATATCTGTCCTTTCCTTCTGTAACAGTCAACAGATATTCAGAGGGGTTGAATTCACAAAGCTGTTTGTGCTTGTAAAAAATGTGAATGGCTGATGGAGCCATTGTCTGCTTCAGTAAATGAATTAATTCTTATTTTGAAGTAAGGTGCGACACCTAGAGGCAAGCAGCAGCACTGCAAGCACACAGCAAAATCTGAGGCTCCCATCTAGTGGACAATAGAAGGCTGTAAAAATGGCCAGAAAGGTTTAATTACTCATATGTTTACAAAAAACCACAAACAAGTGCATCACATATTTGTATAGACTCATGGTAATTTTAATATTCTAGGGCAAAAGACACTAGTAGAGGATACAAATTTAGAAATGTGCTATTGAGACAATTAATTTACTCATAAAATATATATTGTTGGGATGTAGTTTATCAAAAAAGTGAGACCAACAAACACAATTAAAATTGTATAAACAAATGAAGGACCTGCACTTATTGCCTTCACAAACTAGAAATATTATCAGCTTGCTCTTTGGCCCATTTTAATTTGAGGTATTCATGAGTAATATCACTTCACCTATCTAGATCTATGGAGACACATTTTGAGGTTAAATCCTCCAGTAAGACTTCAGATCTATGTTAGTGTAACATAAGTTAGCTAAGCGTAATATAGCTGTTGTTGTTGAAAGTCCATGTCTATGTTTACCATAGTAGGCAGTTTTCAGCTGATGTAAAACACTCAATTAATTAATAGGAAGAAAGATACTTACTTAGTTTTAGAGCAATAGAATATTCTGAGCTGAATACAGGTGAACTAAGCCCTGCATTTATCCAAAGATGGACTTTAGAGAGGTTTTCAGAGCATTTTACAAAGAAGAATACAGTAGCTATCTCCAGGAAATGTTTAATAAGTGATTTATTTGAAAATGAAATGCATTGCCAGGAGTGAAGAAGGGCACAAGATATGCAATCTCCTGTTCGCCACATCCTGCTTGTGTTACAGTAGTTGGCTTTTCTACTTTAAAGGTTATCAAAACAAACCATAGAGCATGGTTACACTTGGACAATGACAGTCAGTGCTGTGTGTGGCCCTCCCTCTATATACACAGACACACACTAAATAGAGGCTTCATCTTTCTTTTGTTTGTTCTTTTTTGTTTAACAGTTTGTTGAAAATGTTATTAGGTTAAAATAAAGAACAATAAATACAGGGCATCCAAAGTTCAGACAGCTGCACTTTTACCACATTTAGTTATCTTTAGGCCTTGTTCCAAATAGTATTGAAGTGAGCGCTATGCTTAAAATTGTACACATAAAACCCAATTATGACAATTAGAAAAAAAGGGTTCAGAGATTTATTAGAAACAAAAAATGCAGGAATCACACTTAAGCAAGTACTCACAGACCTTTCTATAAAGTTCTGGATTGAGTTGAAGTCCATCCTGTTTCATCTTTGAGATGTTTCTACAACTTAAAGAATCCATCTAGAGTCAAGGCAATTGTCCTGAGGAACCAATCTGGGCAAGGAACCAGGAACACTAAAGCTTTAAAGGTCCCAGTTACCTCAGTGGGCTCCATCACGTGTAAATGGAAGATACTGTACCTAGAACCACCAGAGCTCTTCCTGCTGAGTGTTCAGGGGGGAAAGGCCTCGGTCAGGAAGCTGACCAAGAGCAATGATACAACACAATTTAGACAATTTTGTTTAAATAGAAAAATTGGTGGAGCAGATGTCAGGACACCTCACTAGAAGTGAGGGTCAGCCAACAATGTGTCTTCTCCTTTCTGGCAACTACTAGTAATTTTGAGCACGACATTTTAGTAGCAGCCCTGTTTCTCTGGCTGCAGCTTCGATTTATAGGCCTTATAAACCAGGGAGCATTTCCACAAATATAAGCAACACTTAATTTGCCCAAATAACCCAGACATTTCTGAGCAATTTTATCATCAAGGACAATTAAAAAAGCTAAACTAAAAGTAATAACGATTAAATGAGACACTTAGTGTAACATGCTGTGAAACAAGCAGCAATCTGTGTAAGCAGTTGGAGTTTGTCTTAATTGACATAATGCAGATAAGCAGCCAGTGATTAAGGAGGCTGCAGGGTTCAAAGCTCTATGGCACTGTGAATTATAGATTGTTGCATTAAAAATGTATCTAATTGGTTTGAGGCTTTGTAATTTAGTTAATTCTGATTCTTTTTTTGTTTTTTATAAACCAGTACTTGACCCAACAGGAAACGTTTTTAGGTTAAATTCATTTGCACTTCATATTGATCATTATACCTCGCACAGACCATTCAACTTACTCCACCAGAACAGTTTTAGTCATTGATCAAGAGAGCATCAGGGAAAAGAATGGTGAATGATATTTAGAATAAAAAGCAATAATTTGAAAAGTTGAAATGAGGAGAAATTTAGAAGGTTATTAGAAAGGTTTCTTAAAAAAGGCAGTTGTCCCTAAGGGACCTCTTTTATCTGCTTTGCCAGCTAATATGATCACCCTAGAGAATTACTTGTTTCAAGCTGTGACCATGACAACAGTGACCATATGAGGCAGAGCATAACAAGGCGGGGCATAAATGTGGCGAGGGAGCAGAAAGGGAGCACAGACCTGGCTAAAAGACAGGACGGCACTTGGTGTGAACTCAGCTGCTGGGATTAAGTACTAACAGGAATGCTAAGAGTGGGCTACCAGCGATATGTCTACAAACTGTCCTGGACAGCGATGGTAAAAGAACTCAACTCTGAACTAGTTAAAAAAGGAATTGGGCCAAAAACTATTTTTTTTTACATCGCCAAAAATCATCATAAGATTTGAACCATTATTTTTTGTTACTTAACCCTTTAACTGCCTGGTCAGCCAAGTGGTTGACCGTTTGCTGGACCAGGCAGTTCAAGGGTTAATATATCAAAAACTAATTATTTGGTACTTTTGTAACTGGTGTCTCTGTCAGAGTTAAGCTTGACATTTGTGTTTGTGATCAGGTGGAAGCAGGAAGTGATGCTCTCCCAGAGTCTAAAGGGGACCAGAGGGTAGCGGTACCTGCTGAGAATGGACTGAGTCACACTCCAATTATCGCCCCCAAACCTCCATCACTGGTCGGCCATCAGCCTCAGTCTGCAGGTACAACACTGAATCAGTTATTCTCTAATTTATTGTAAATTAGGACCAAATATTCTGTGACTATCTTAACTTTATGTGTCTGGAGGAACAGGTTCACTGAAACCATCGGTGAAGACGGAAGACATCATTCAGAGTGTCCTCACTGGTAGGGTTGAACATAATCTAAATAGTTAGTTTTAAAAATAGTCACATGATACTCCAGAAAAACCTCCAAGCCAAAATTTGCATATCATTATATTCCAGTTTCTATTATTAGCAAATATTTTCATGGAAGCCTTCCTAAATTTTACATGTAAAGTCTGTAAGTTACAAATCATCCCCCATTTTTCTTTTCTGCTCCATTCTTTCTGTTCAGAGCTGGAGGCTCAGACGGTGGAGGAGCTGAAGCAGCAGAAGGGATTTGTCCGAGAGCAGCGGAAGCAGTACAAGGAGATGAAGGAGCTGGTTAGAAAACACCACCGTAAGACAAGCGAGCTGATCAAGGAGCATACAGCTCGCGTTTCTGAGCTGCAGAGCCAGCATCAGAGGCGCCGCTCCACACTGCAGAAGAGCCACAAACGTGACGGTAAGAAAAGGTAGGTAAAACTTTTCCTCTGCTTTGCTTCATAATTCATTGATGGGAATCCCATTGAGAATGATTGAAATATCTAATAACAAATGCATAGGTACAATTCTAAACCACACTTGAGCAAAATATAATTTTAACGTTGATAACATGATAATTGGAATTTTATATATAAAGAAAAGTATGACTTAAAATTCCGCTCTTACATCTGTTTCTTAGTGAAATGTTTTTTCAATCCTACTAAGGACGCTCCCCTCAATCTCTCTGTAAGAAGGTTTTAGTTCAAATGTGAATGTGTAACAAGGTTTTTGACTAACAAGGTAATTTATGACATCAGCTAACATAAAAATGTGTTACACAAATGTTAAACAGCCTTTCACTTAATCTACAGAGAAAAACCAGACAAATCCAACCTTTTGAAGATTAAACATTTGGCCTAATCTCAGGAACATTTACAAGACTCACTATTCATTTTTAAAAGAATGATTTCATCATCCTACACATCAATCCTTATTTTAAAAAGTACTTTTAGATAAAAAAAAAAAACATTCCTTATTTATTCTTTGAAGTGCACACATTTTTATTATAAATATCTCTTACATTTAAGATATATTAATATTTACCACCTTACTAAAATGATGGTTTCAATCATTCAGTTTTATTTTTCTATGCCTGTAATTCTTTCTATAGTTTTACAGGAATCCTAATAAAAGGCTGTTCATATAAGTGTCTCTCACTGTGTTTTATATTCGACCCAAGTCGGTCCGAAAACTCCCTGTCAACTCTGGACCAGGAACTTTGTGAGCTGGAACAGGAGTGCAGCCAGAAACTGGCAGAGCTGAAGGAGCAGCAACAGCAGCAGCTGCTCACACTCCGCCAAGAGCAATACTACAGTGAGAAATACCTGAAAAGAGAACACATAAAACAGGTGCGTGCAACACATACATGTCGTAATGTCAACAATGGGTGGTGAGGTTGCTCGAGGACCCAGATGCAGAGACGAGTGAAGCAGAGATGAGTTCTGAGAGGTTTAATTGCAGACCAAAGGGAGCAGAGGCAGAAATCCAACTTAAAGTATTAAACAAACCAAAATCATGGAGACATCAGGGGAAAAAACAAGTCTGAGGAGCCAGGGAGAGACGAGCAGGGTAGACAATACAGCAACGAGAAGGAACCAGCACTGAGTGACTGCAGAGGTGGAGTATTTAAGGAGAACAAAACAAAGGTTGGACTAACGAGCTGAATGGGGAGCAGGTGTGGGTGGAACTGGCAAGAGGGAATCCAAGGGGAAAGAAAACAATCACAAGGGGGCAACAGAGAGTAACCAAAGAGTGCTAGAATATCATGGAAAATAAAAACAACTGATAACAGAAAACTGAAAACTCAGAGTCACAACAAATGAGAACCATAACACGTAAATTATTACACAGAGCAATATATATTCTAAGTGTTTATATTTATTGAGTTTGCTGATCATAGCGTATCAAAACCAGAATTGTTCTACGATCCACAAGGAGGAAAGCAATGAAGAAGCTTAACTAGGATTTAGAATCAATCACCTTTTAAGCATATTGATGGAAAGTTTAGTGGTAGGAAAAACTGCGATTGAAAAAGATGCACGACTCAGATAATATTTAGGAATATTTTAAAGCTCGGTACATATTCTGCTAGAAATGAGAAATGCGTTGTCAAACTATAAAAACGTTTCTTTTGCTTTGAAGTATTCATGTGAGAAGCCCAGTTGCTGAAGGTCTCCCCCAATTTAGCTTAGCTCACACACAAAAGGAAACACAACTTCACAGTAGCATTGTTTGTATTTGTAAAAAGGAAGGGAAGAAAAAAAAATGCTTTAAATTAATGTAACAGATCAGTGTTCAGGTTTTCACATCTGAAATAAAGATCGGAATTTTCCACCAGAAAAACAAAAGGGGACAAAAAATCATGCTCTGCTTTTTTTAACTAACAACGGCATCTAAATCCTGACCAGTCACAACAACGACACGGGATATGCTGCATGAAAAATGATTTGCTCAGATGTTGTGGAGAAAAAACAGCAAGATCCCCAAACATGGCACTGAGAGGGCAAACATTTATGGAGTATGTCGGAACCTGTTCAAGAGCTTTAAGGAGACTCAGAAGGGCTGCAGCTGGAATCAGAGCTCAAAGAAATCAAAACATGGAAGAGTCTAGATCCTTGTGTTAAACTTTTCCCTCGACAGTTTTAATTCCAGAAACATCCAAGTTTCTTAAGTTTTGTATGAAACTATAATCCAGTACACTAGATGTGTTTTTTATAGATCAACACCCCTCCCTAAATAAATAAAGAATTATGTTTAAGTCATGGTTCCCACCTTAACATTACTTATGAGCATCCAGAACCTAATCATGAACATGCAGTTACTTTCTTTGGGATACACTGATGCGACACTCAGACCACAGCTTGCCTTGACTTGTCTGTTGGATGGATGATGTGCTGACAGCGTCTAAAGAACAGATAGCACAAACAAGGGGATAAATGAAGGCTGCAAACAACTCCAGGTCATCCCCCTAAAGAGTTTCCGAGACATGGCTTTGCTGCCGGTGCCGATGTTCTGTCGGATGATGTGGAAAACCAAATGTGTTCAGGTCCACTGCTTCTGCTCAGTGAACACAGCTGAGGTGTTAGAAAGGTTATGCCAGGGGAAGAGGATGAGCAACAAGTCTAACTGCTGATTGATTAAATCAAAAACAGAAAATGTTCTGCTCTGTTGAAAGTATAAACCGTAAAATCGAATGTTTTTCTGTTTGTTTGGTCTGTTTGTTGTTTCCCAGCTGGTTGAGAAGCTGACAGCTATAGCAGAGGAATGTCAGAGTGCTCAGCTGAAAAAGCTGAGAGACGTCTGTGAAAAGTAAGATTGAGTTTATTAATCATAACCAGCAAACATAATGGATTTTTAACATCTCAAATGTTTTCCAACACTGGCAGAGAGAAGAAGGATCTGAAAAAGAAAATGGACAAGAAAAGACAAGAGAAGATCAACGAAGCGAAATCTAAAGACAAGAATTTAACAGAAGAGTAAGTTTTTCTAACCAGTACTTGTGGGCTTTTGCCTCCATTGTTTTGCTGTTATAATTTATTGACCACTAGATGTCACTGTAGACTAAATGTTTAAATTGGGTTTGTCCCTCTTAGAGAGAAGTTAGAGATCAACAGATCTTTTGTCAACGAGGTGGTGCAGTATATTAAACGGGTAAGCACAATCAAGTATCTGTTCATTTCGTTTCTTCTTAAATAAATATTCCTGATTCATTTGTTGGTATTGATAAGAAACACTGCCTTGCAAAACTAAATACGCCTTCCATCCTTATTGCTTATCAGTCAGGGTTACCTGGGGGGCTGTTACTTATTGCCAGCAGCTTATTGAACCACTGTTAAAGTGTTTACACGACCTTAAAGCTTGGATGTCTAAATTTTCTGAATTTCTTTGGTGGCAGCTCGTGTATACAAAATGAAATTTCGTTTAGAACAGCTCTGTCCATATGCAAATATATTTTTGCTTTTATTACATCTGCAATCCTCAGTGACTTTTCCTTTTTGTTTTTTGTGAGTTTTATGTTACTGGAAAGCTGAAGGAAAATGATCCATATTTTTCTAACGTCTTTTATAAACACAAATCTGTAGAGTTTCAAGTTTGTTTTTATTCTCTCCTTGCCAGGTGAGAGTAGGGCATTAATCAGAGAAGCAGCCAAAAACTCCATGTTGACTCTGGAGGGGCCAAGCGGTCCAATCCGTGGCCAGGTCAATTATTAGTGCTGCACTCCACAAATCCAGCCTTCCGAGAAAGTGGCAAGAAGAGCAAAAACGATTAGAATTTTTGGTTCAGCTAACCATTTTAGAGCTATTGACAAACAAGCCAGATGGTGCTCTAATTAGATGAGAACAAAATGAATATTTATTACCTACATGATGCATATCAAGCCAAGACTGCACAGATATGAGGTCAGTTTACACATCACGTTGTAGAGATGCTTTTCTTCAACAATGACAGAAAAGGATTGAGGATGTAGCTCAGAGGTCACAGATTAGCAGACCGAGGCCCAGATATGGACCCAGAACCACCTACTGGCTGATCCAGACCCAACCTGATATAAAACACTGTATAAACTTCACTTGCCCCTCATGTTCATATGGTAAAGCCCTTCAGAGCATCTGGTACCTGGGTGCATGTGGTATAAATTAGCCAATGAGCTGTGTCAGTCTGGGTTGCTGCTGCTGGTTAATTTTAGACACAGCAGGCAAATCTGTGGCAAGCCGGGTGATGGGAAAGAAGAAGACGATGACAGAAAGAGAGCAGAAAAAATGTGGACTGCTGGAAGAAGTGGGGTGAACTACTGAAAGAAAAGTGAAATGACTCAAAGATGACCCTGCACATTTTGAGTATGTTTGGTTCAACCTACTGCGGTGAAGCAGGATTCCCCACCATGTACTAAAACTGAAATGTCGATTGCAATGCAAATTGTTGTTGACAATAAAGTTGATTGATTGATTGATTGATTGATTGATTGATTGATTGATTGATTGATTGATTGATTGATTGATTGATTGATTGACCATAATCAAAAATAAATATTGATCCAGGCTAAAAATTAGCAACTTGATATGTGCTTTAGAATGGCTTTGTCACCAGTCAAACCCAGGTTTAAAGTGTTGCAGGTCAGCCTAAAGCCCACTGCTCTCATTAAGCCAGAAAAAAGAAAGATAAAAAAAAAGGGTCAGTTCAGGTGTTTTATTTAAAAAAAAAAAGTGAGTCAGGAAATTGTCTATATACCAAACTGAACGGTTGTTGTTCTCTACTTCAAAAACAATTTAGATTTTGAAATGAAAATACATTTTATTTTTTATATTTTTTATTTAAAAATTTAAATTTACAACATGAATGCATAAACACCCCATTTTATTTAAATGTTAAGTTCTGTTTAAAGTAACAGATTTTCTTTATTTGGACCCCACTGATTTTTAATTGGTTACCCCTGTTATACATTATGGCTTTAGAATGAATGACTATAGTAGAGAATAAGGGGTAAAACTGGAAAAGCAATGTCTTCAGATCCTCTATGCCCATTGTGACAGAGGCAGAGCTGTTGCAGAACAACAATGAGTAAAACTGTCTGTCCCTAGATGTGCAGAATTAATAGAGATATTCCCAAGACTCTAAAATATAATTATAGAAAATAACAAAGGAGCTAAAAACGCCAAATATTGCAGAATTATGATGCCAAAAATTGTATATTTGCAAGGCACTGTAGGTAAAAGACATCAACCTGTCTGCTTACATTTATAGCTGGAAGATGCTCAGAGTAAAAGACAAGAAAGGCTACAAGAGAAGCACAAGGACGTCCGGCAGCAGATCTTGGATGAAAAGCCAAAGGTGAGTTTGCAACACAGAATGCAGAGGTCTTTACTCATCAGGATACACTGATGTGTTTACACAGGGAGATAAATCAGCTGATTAGTTTTTTCTGTTTGTTTTTTTTTGTTTTTGTTTTTACAAGTTTTATTGATAAAGCAACATTTTAACAATGCTAAGTTCTACAAAGAATTAGTCTGCTGGGAATAAGCTTCATTATTCCAGTCAGCAAGGCTTCTTTTTGATGTACAGATATAGTTATACATATCATATGTAAACAATTCTGTATACATCTATTATGTACTCCAAAGTTAGAGCTACCTTTTTACTGACAGTCTTACAAGAGCTGTTAGATTTAAAAAAAAAATGAAATTATAAATAATCCTCCTCAAAGACATGTTGTGTAGAAGTCCATTACAGGTTAAGTAGAGAAAGCTATGTGTGTATAAATGTAGTATTTTTGCAGCAGTTTGTAAATGTAAACCTTGGAAAGAAAGTCTAGTGTATTGTTTTTTTTTTTTTTTTATATATGTAAATGTAAATGTAAAGGTTTATTTCAGCCACTAGATGGCGATCTGAGCTACCTTAATTTCATGCTATCCTGTCTGTGGTGAAAATGACCTTTATTGAGTACAATACAGTGTATTCCAACAGATTTTCTAAAACCATTAGTTATGTTTTTATGCTATGTTTTTGGTATCAGATTATGTCTAAATGTTTTATTGAGGACCTCTAATTATGCTGTTAATATGTTTGCTAAAAGCTGGGTTATTGCTTTATAACATTCACTTCCTTGTAGCTGCATAGTCTGGTGCATTAAAGCAATTAGTTACTAATACCATCATGTTTATGTATTTACTCTCTCTGTGTGGGTTTATTACTCTTGTTTGCGCATAGTCTGGGTAGCATGTCGGTTTTAGTTTCGTCACCAACCTTGTTCTTGCAACCTTCTTTGTAGGACAATGTTTCTTCAGAACGTGGTAAGAATATCCGTGCATCCTGGTGTGGAGCACTAACTCAGCATAAGTGTGACATTTACAACATGTAAACAAACAGGCCTGCTGCATGGCAACGGTTAAATTCCAACTATTGTCGTATTTTTTCTGCCAAAGATTTAAGCTAAAGCCGTTTATTATATGAAGTGTTTTGTGAGTTATTACTGCAGCATTTGTAGTGTATACCACAGCATTTCTGCAGCATAAGGGCGTGCAGATTGGCCTGTGTATTGTGAGATCACACCTCAGCAGTGTTCTTGGATTTAGCGCCCCATGGTAATGATGCTTTTGGCAACATCCTTCATAACAATGGCTACTTTGGCATAAAAATCATTCAGGCAAATCATTTCAATCATATATCTTATTTCTGTACCCATATCCCTAATTTTCTGGAACCCAAAACCTTTCAGATCCTAATAGGACAGACATTAATCTACTGTTATTTTTTCTGTTATAATAACAGTTTAATTATATGCTGTTAGTTAATCTGCTTTGGATTAAAATTTTTGATCAAAATGTTCTAATATAGATTCAAATCTAGCCATTATATGGTCATTTGAGGCCAAATTGAACCGTTTGTTTCAACAAGAAAAGTACTATTGGTTTGGAAAAAAACAGAACCCCCCCCCCCCCCAGTGTATAATAAAACATGGAGCTGGCAGCATTATACTGTTGGGTTAGTTTTTCTCAGCAGGGATGGAGAAGCTGCTGAGAGTTAATTAGATACAGGTTAGAGCAGATTACAGGGCAATACTGAAACAACTCCTGTTAATGTTCACCTTCCAACAACAGACCAAAACTATCAGAACTGTGATTAAATGTGATCCATTAAGGCATATTCACAGTATGTTTTGATTACTCGTGTTAAAGTCCACCCCTAGAAAAACTTCTAGCTGCAAAGTATTAACTTTAAGTTAAATTCGGTTGTTTATTTTAAAAATCCTGTGTCCTTTAAGACTCTACAAATACTGTATGAATGGGTTACAAGTGTGCGAGTCCTTTTACAGGACTCGGTAGATAGAATTGGGATAAACTGAGGTCAAAATGAGCATGCATCCCAGAACATGAAGCTTTTTAGTACTCTGGCATATTTTAAATTAGAAGTGCAGCAAAAATAAACACCAGACTTTTACAATTTTCTGTTTCGAACACGAGTGTCTTGTTTCTGCTAAGCCCATTTGGATTTATGTGTTTTAAGCAGTGGTTGATCTATTGTTGTTATAGCCATGCTACTGCTGACTCCTGGCATGTAAAAGTGCCTCATTTGAACAGGAGAAGCTAAGATATGATGCAGAGCACATTAACCACTTGAACTCATAAGTTAGTGTTTTTTCTTCCACTTAGAGAAGCCTAAATCTCAAATCTTCTACTGAAGACAGCTTTGTAGCCTCCCACACTCAAAATGACACCTCCTCATTTCTTTAAAACCACCTGGACTGGAGTGTGGGAGGTGAGGAGCAGACATCTAGTCCAATAATTCATGCACATTCACTTGTCGATGACTTTCCATGAAAGTGCACTAAAGAGGAATAAAGTGTTCCCTGGAAAGAAGAAAATGTTTGGATGATGTTGTATTGGAGGAGGTTGTTCTTGATATTGATTATCTCCCTGAAGCCAGCGGTGAATTAGGCTACTTAACTGCTCCTTTTGTCAACTTCCTGTGGTGACTATCATAATCTTCCTATGAAGTCATTTTTAAAAGTGAGACTTGATTTGTTAAAAACTGTATGAATCAAAGGCACAATGATCTAATCAACCCAATCTTGTAGCTTTCTTCAGGGAAAGTAATTCCACCCATTTATTTTTTTCTCCCCACTGAATTGATTATCCATCACCTAACCACCTGTCTCAGGCAGTTTTAATCAAAAACTAGGCCATTGCAAATGTAATTCACCAGAGTCAGGCTGTTCCAGTAATTGGTCATTTCTGCAGCTTTCGTGGAACGACAGTCATCAGCATGCAAAATGAGCAGGTGTCAGAGGACACAACTCTGGAGACAGCGAGCAAAGTTATCCTGCGGTTATGTTAATGCGGAGCTCAGAAGCGTGACTGTCTCATCCGCATTGAAGCAAGCATTTTGTTCCCATAAACAGCTTCCTACACAGTTTGAAATAATCAGAAAGGATAGAATTCTATTTAAATACATCCCATATCAGGATAAGTATGGGATATTAAATCAACAAATGGAAAAATGTTTTGTTATTAACTGTGTACTTTATAATGAATAAAGTTAAATAAAAAAGGTGCCCCAATATGTTTTTACATATAAGATATCCTTGCTATTACGCTGGGGGTCTAAACTCCACAGTGTTAAATATGCAGTATCAAAGTAGATTTACTCTTTTAGAGTTATTACAGCAACAACTGGAGTAAGCTATAGACTATTAGTTAATTTAACACTAATTTAGAGTGGGAACAAATGCACTCAGATTGATATTAAATTTAACACTTAAAGTGTTACTTTAATACTGCAAAATTTCGGAACTATTGGACTAAATTTGCAGGGACTGTTTGAATTTGAATCTAATAGTGACCAAACTTGAGCATGAATGTTAAAGTTACACATGTAGGAGCTTTGAGTTTGATGTTCTAATAGAGTATATATTCCTTTTTAGTTCCTATTGGCTGTAATGGAATTAAAGCCATTCCAATGTAATTGTTGAGGTCCCTTTGTGTGATTTTGAAAACTAGCAAGGAGCTAGAAGATGGCTCCATCCAAAGACTAAAACTGTCCTTTATGAAGTCATAATTAAAAGCTACATTGGCAGACATTGATAAACAATATTTGTTTTAAGCTTTAAGCCCCAAAATATGGAAATGTTAGTTAATAGAAACATTATACTTGATAAAATGGGACCTTGGACCTCCAAGTGCATTGTGAAATAATTTTGCATTGTGATAGGCTTTGCTACTATTAAGTAGCAAATATTGTTAAATATTTCTTAGATATATCATTAAATGTTATTATTTAAATCTCCACATTGGGATAGTATGATCCTGTACAGTATTTAGACACTATCTACGAATGCATTTACATTAAAAGGGAAAAAAGTGCATGAATAAAAGTATTTGTCATTTTATTATTCAGTGAATGTAAAAGTAAACAGATATATTCAGCAGAGAAGTTGTTTTTTTTTCCTATTCTGGGCTGCTTTAAAAAAAAAATGTTCTTATGCATTAGCTTTTCTGAGTAATAGAACAGACAAACCCCCTGTTGCATGAAGTTCTGACCCAGTTTCTTCCCTGACCTCGTAGCAGCCACTAATGGACATCTATAACTGTCTCTGGTGGATGCTCTTGGCTAAGAACCGGCCTTTAAAACACTGTCTGTATTTATAAAAAGTATTTATTTAGAAACATTTAAAATAAACTTACAGGCCACTTCATTAGGTACACCAGAGTTGTGCTCAGTGAGGTGTTTAACTCTTTGTGGCATAGACGCAACAAAGTGTTGGAAACATTGATCCAGGGATTTCATTCCATATTGATACTGGCATTAATAGAATCACATTGTCGGTAATGGTTTCTCAAATACACATCTATGATCCAAATCTCCTCTTTAGTTTATTTTATTTGAGTTTAGTTTAATACATTCTGACTAGGGATTAAGCAAAGCTGCCTTCCTGGGCCATTGGTAAAAAGCAAAACAGATCCATGCTTTTATTGTTGCTTTACAGCAAATCCTTATTCTACCATCTGAATATTGGGGCATTTTTCAAATCTAATATTGCTTAGTTTTGTTGTCTCAGTTCATCGGGTATGGTCTTCTGCTGCTATATCTCATCTGCTTTAAAAGTCAAGCTATGGTGCATTCAGAGATGTACTCTACAGTACCTTGGTTGTAAAGACTTACCGTAATATTAGAGCAGTAACAGGCTTCCTACCATCTCTCCCCGTTATGCTCTTATTTCGACAGGACATTTTCATCCACACATCTGCTGCTCAGTGAAGGTCTGTAATAGTAGTGCATCAAATTTAGATCAGTTCCTACCAATACTCAGATTACAGTTGTTGTCCATTCGGCAT